AACAAAATGCAAAAAAAAAAAAGAATGCAGAACACAAACACACACACACACACATATATATATATATGGTAATTTGAGAATGTTTTTGTTGTAGGTGTTCAGCAGTCAAAACTAAATTCTTCAATAAATAGAGTAATGTCCCAGTTGTTATCCCGAACTATTGCACTAATCGGGTCTTTTAAATCAAATATGTGGTGCAGTTCAATTTATATTACAATGAATCTTTCATACAAAAGTAGATTAGCAAAGTTAATGATACAAAAAATAGCGAAATCCTTTCGAAACAAAATTTCTATTTGTATGAATGATTCATTGTAACATATATATATATATATATATATATATATATATATATATATATATATATATATATATATATATATATATTGCTAATAGAACCGACTAATTAAAATAGTGAATATTTTTGAGGTTTCCACAATTTCGGTTTGTGTCTCGAACATAAAATGAACGTCATGCGGTTATCAGTGAAGATGAATGAAATAAAAAAAATATCCATATTATGGTTTTCAGTGTGAAAAGATTAAATAAATAAAATACAATTCCTATGAAGTTTCACGGCTGGATTTAATATAGTTATTTTAAATCCACTTGAAACCTTTATTAATAAAGCTTTTTTTATTTGTCACGTCTGTTTTGAATATTTTCCAAATGTCTTGATTTTTATTAAAAAAAAAAGATAATGAAACGATTTTGAAGTAATCAATGATTTCAACAATCAAATAATTTGCAATGTAAAGGATTCTAAAATAGAATAGTTCCATATTTGTTTCATTTATAAATTATTTCATTTATCTGCAGGCCATTCAAATTTTATTGTATTAAAAAATTCTAACTAGCATGTTCTAACATCTTTTGAAACAAATTCTGCTCTTAAAAAACATTATAGTTCCTTTCTGAAAAATTCATTTTTTAGAGAGTTGAATTTTCTTTCTGAATTCTCTTATTTTCAGCTCAAGAGTAAGTAACTGGAGAAAGTTGTCTTGCCATTTTTATACACCATGAGTATTAAGGGCTATCATGAAGAAATATTTATGTGGATCAACCCTATCATTTAGGCAAAAATGGTCACAAGAGCTTACTGAGAACAGTAGATGCGAGAAAGATATTGAGATGGACATTTCTCAGTAAGGGACACCTTTAGCCATAGAGCACTTAGTGTTATTGTCAGTTTTGATGGTGTTATTGTTTGAATCACTTCACCCCAAGCACGGCAATAAAGACAAAAACAAAAGTGTGAAAGAATATGAGAAAAAGAAAAATGTCCAAAATGATTTTGGAAGCAAAAATTAGATGAGAACCAAGACCGAAAGGGTGGAACACCCAGTGAATTTCAAATTCACTACTCAGTCATAACTGTCATCGCAAAACAAGCTTGCTAGACATTACACCAAGTTGAAGTGTCAGAATATGCTACACAAGAGAAGATTGCAAGAGTGCATGAAACTCTGAGTCATGCTATTGACGTTGGATATAATGTGCATTCACTAATACACTCAAACACACACACACCATATATATATATATATATATATATATATATATATATATATATATATGTGACGTAAAAGAAAAGACAGAATATGACGATTGATATTGCATTATAATTTTTGAAGATTGTAGTTATCAGGAAGCAAGTAAACTTAATGGATTTTCACAGGCGAGTAGTTCAAGAAAAGAAACTTGGCAGTTACATTTAACTAATTCAACAATAAAAGGGTGGGGCTTAGATGCCGATCTAGTAGCATGCTTAAATTCAGGTAGTTGGGCATCTGAGACAAAAGTACGTCAGGGCAGTTACCGTGAAAATATTTGCAGAAAGAACAAAGGGATGCCACGCTACGAAAAAGTCACTGAAGTCGAGATGCCAATTCGGGACTGATTATATTGCATGCCCTTCTTTTATCTTGTCAAGAACCCCAAGACCAACAGTAGGTGCACCACACCACACACACACACACACACACACACACACACATATATATATATATGTTGTTGTCACACACACACGCTTCGCACCCTGCACCCTACCCCACACCCCCACACACACACATATATATATATATATATATATATATATATATATATATATATATATATATATATATATATCGTTGTCACACACACATTCATATATGTGTGTGTGTGTGTGTGTGTGTGCGTGCGTGCAGGGTGCGATGCGTAAAATGTCGGCATTTAGTATTTCTAATTTCGCGCATGCGCGTTGTTTTTGAGTTTGTCTACTACACAGGAAAGTAGGATCATTTGGGCACCGTTAATGAGAAAAAGACCACCATGTCACTATTCACTCCGCAAGAAATTTGAAAACGGCATGCTATACTGCTTGGCATTTGCACCAGCATCTCCAATACGGAAATTTGGGTGTCAATATGAGGAAAATACAGAGTGTACAGAAAGAGTTGGATCAGTCCAATGGTGATTGCAAACGTGTCTGGGGTGTTCCCTTGTGATGGCGACGTTATGCCTCTATTCATCTTACAACAGGGTCTCAGACTCCACAGGGGTGGTGGGGGCTGTATTACGTACCTTGGTGAGGCAGTGCTACCCTAGGTCAAGAGGATGGCTGCTGGAAGACCCTATGTCTTGCAAGAGGTCTCTGCAACATGCCGCACAGCAGGATAACCCAGTCATGGCTATCAGGCAATTTCTGCGACCACATCACTTACATCTTACACCTAACTCCCCAGACTGTAATCCCCCACCACATGCTTCATCATTATGTGCAGGTAGCAGTTGAGCGATAAACCAATAAAACCTGGTAACACCAAGAATGGCAAAGATTATCTCAAAATTCACCAACTTAAACAAGGAAACCGTCCAGAAGTGTTTCAGGAGATTCTCAAGTCGTCTGAAGGCCGTGGTTGAAGACATTGGTGATTTTATAGAATAAATGCATTCTTTAGTATTTCAAGATATGTTTGTGCAATTTTGGTAAATATGTCTGTTAAAATGAGATGTCAGTGTTATATTCATTTTTACGTAAAATCAACGACAATTTATCCATCGCACCTAGTATTTATATATCAAGAACAAGTTTATCATGTGAAGCGTTTTGTGACTTCATCGGACTCAAATAATGTTTAAGTCGATGAGGAATTTACTATCATTCGCAGTTCAATAGGGAGCCTTGATATTATATAATAGTTACACGCTTCTTTTATTTAATGAAATATTTCTGTTTCTTAATATTTGGTTTAGATTTCAGAAAGCATCTTTCCATATTTCATTATGTCTTCAAATGAAAATGACACATTTTCCATCGTCTGAAAATTTCCAGACACATATATTCCGTGTTCGAATTTGATTTGATTTTGTTATATTCACATACGCGCAGCTACGCTTGTGGAAGGTATGAATCCATCTATTCTCCCTCCAGCTATAGGTGAATAACCGGGCAGTCTGGGTTTTATAGGTGTTGTTGGCAACCAGTCTAACGCGGAAAGAAACGACAACATACTGTTCTGCCTGATCACTCATGGATCGAAAGAGATATTGTCACACAAGTTTTGTACTCTCTCGATTTCTCTGTCTTTCTATATCACTTTTAATCCCTTTATTTCCCTCTTTCTGTCTCTTTCTTTTCTCTCTCCCCAACAGGGATTTAATCCGTATAAAAATGAAGTATTTCTCTCACGTTTCAGCCGAAGCACCCCAATCCTCATCAAAAGCTTTTGCACAAGCTTATAGTTTCTTTAACCTTCTTTTCCCAAAGACAAAACGTTACTCGCCTCTCGATGCGCTATCCCTGTTTAATTAGCAGATGTTCCGGATAAATGCATTCTTTATTTCCATCAGTCCAGAACTTCACAGCAAGGACCCGCTTTGTACCGGATTAACAATAGATGTTGAAAAATATTCGTAATTGTTTACACAATTTTAATGAAAAAAGCAAATCTAATGCTGATTATGAAACAAGTTAATAAATTAATTTATACGTTTTTGACGAAACACGATATTTTCTCTACCATATTGTAGTTTACTACAAAAGTCGAAGTAAAAATCACTATTTTTCTTTACGTCTCTAGATCTTCATTATTTTTACTGTCTGGAGATATGTAACATTTTTTAGCATTTATATAGACTTGCATATATACGTAATATATACGGGAGTAACATCAAAATAGTACCAATCCTGTAACAGCATGGGATAATTGTTTAGCCCACAAAATGTTTAATATTTAAAAACCCTCTAAACTAATTGAGTTTGTTTTTTTCCAGGTTTTCAGATGAGAGTTTTAACCACCCTAGACACCATTTACCGTAAGAATGACTGGAAAAAAATCCTTTGAGTTTTTCAGCTAGAAAGAGAACAGGTTAAAATCATTTCGTGTTCGACCCACTATATCTTCCCAACTGAGCAATGGTGAGAGGAAAAAGATCATTCAAGCCTTCAGTAATGATACCAGTATTCAAGGCAACATTTAGGAAGTTTTAAAAAGAGGGAACAGTAGAGAGGAAAACTGAATCAAGTGGTCACGAGAGCAAGAGGTATCATCATTTCAACTTAGGGCAAAATACATTCTTATTGTTCAAAGTAGAGTTCAATAGAACTTTAATTATTTCTAAGATACAAAGGTTCAACTCTTTGCTGTTACACGATTTGGACAATTTTGCTATTACACCCGATATATATATATATATATATATATATATATATATATATATAAATATATATATAAAAGAAAGAACAGTAAGATATATAATACGGTGTTCTTATAGGTATTTTTATTTTTACAAAATAGTGCTCAATGTAAATTTACAGAGCATTAATATTATAAATTAATTGATTTAAAATGTTTTTTCCGCTACACAGTTCTAACCATGTTTCAAAAATGGAAGCTAAAAGCCACGAATTTAATATTGCAATTAAATTAAAGACATTAGTTCCATTTCATCCTCAAGTGACATTTGGAGTAACTTTTAAAATTACTGGGTTTTAAAGACACAGCTAAAATCACGTT